ACGTGAATCTGGCAAGTAGTTCGAAAGCAATTTGTGTGGTCATCAAGATTAGAAAGGTGCTCTTTAAATGCTTCACTGGGATGGACTTTTACACAACCCAATCCTTTTAACACAAGTAAAAAGATAGCTTTTTGCCTGAGGTGATAATGTGAGTACAACTGAAATATTCAGCAAGGGATTATATATCCAGCTGAGGTAATTCTGCAGCCAGATAGGCTTGGATAGATGGGATTGTTTAAGCAATTAGCAGGCAGAAAGACTCCACCAGCAAAGTTGCACGAAGAGCAAACAGCAGAAGAGAAACTCAGTGTTTCGACTGGCGCTGTCCACGTGTACATTGATGGAGGGCCAGTCTTACAGACTCAGCATGTCAGGTCAATGGAGTCCCCTTTTATTGGACAAAAACTCTATTGTGCCTCTAATCTCTAAAAGCGCTGACATGCTTTGTGCTCCGTGCTATCTTTAGCTAGCTGGAATCCAACCAGAGTACAAATTTTGGGACTCAGCCTACCTGCATTTCCAGTTACATCAACATTTAACCAGAAGCCACACATGTCGAGACCTATCCACACAAGCCCAAAGCAGGACTGAATGTGTCATGTGAATGAACTGTGGCTCTAGATTTAATTAGATTCAATTGAGCCTTTTTTCTTAAATACACAGCCAATAAAAAAACAAATAAACTTTTGGAAACATTGTCTCCTCCTTATGCTAAATCTCCAGCACACATCTTTAGCACTTGGAAAATAATATTTTTAAATGATGTAAGATGGATATAGCAATTTCACTCTGGAAATTCCCCCATTTTACAACATGTGGTTTGTGCTCCAGGAAGACAAGAGAGAAAGGAAAGATGAACTCTTTCAGTCCCAACCATATTGCGGAATGGCTGCTGGATTTTGTGAAAAAATAATTTAGATGTCAAATGAAAATGAAAAAGTGTTTATTTGGTTGACTGCTACTGCAGCTAGTCTGTACTGCAATCAATCATCATTACCCCACAATGGTTTCACCAAGGCAGATGACTTCAGGGTGATAGAGCCTTCATATTTTAAACAATTATCTCTCATTCTACTAATTTATGTTACCGTATATGTCCTGTAACAGTATAAACAAATATGATTTTAACTTTTGCCTGTACATCTAAACTAGGTATGTCCCGATCCAGATTTTTTGGCTCCCGATACAATCTTTACCGATACAAGCTTTATTTCTTTATTTCTTTCCGAGTGACAAGGTTGGTAGTATTAAAGGGAGCCCTGCTGTTCCAGGGGTTGACATAACCATTGTTTAGGTTGTCCGGGACAACCTACTTTTGTTTCGGACAACCAGATCCCACCTCCCGGTTGTCCTGTGGAAAATCAAGAAAAAAAGATCTAGATGAATGTTTTCCGTCGCGGGTGTCCGTCATTTATAAAAATGAAAGGGGGAAAAAACTTGTTAAAGCCATCTAGGGATTAAAACTGATTGTTCTTTCACCCAATAGAGAAAACCAAAGTCAAAGTTTTACCCAGCAGAGGAGAATGAGGAAGTTCTACTCAAGCAGCTCCTGAAACCGTCAACCTGGCTGACTGAGAACATTTATATATAGTAAACTTTGTATACAGAACAATAAATTTTTATTGAGATTTTTGCGGCCAACCAAAACGTTTTGCAGACTACCAGATTTTGTCAACAGGTTGCCTGGACAACCTTAACGGCAGTTGTAAAGCAAGATGCTGAAAACTGTCGTGAAAACTGGATCGGCCCGATCACATGACTAAATGTGATTCTACCAATTTTCAAAAAAAAAAAAAATGGCCATATCTGCCACCAATACCGATGATGAGTATCTGATGAGGACATCCATAATGTAAACTATGCATTTATTTGTATAGATTTATAAAAGCCTTTATGTCATTAGTACCAATGCAACAAAATGCTGACTAACTTCATGAAAGTTCTGAAACCACATGACTGGGTTACTCAACAGATGCTGACCTTCTACAGACTAGCTGGGAAAAGAAGGTCGGCACTTCAGCACATTATTTAAATACATGCAAGCACAGATAGAAAAGTGAACAATTCTCTTTCCAGGCACTCGGGCTACGAGGCAGAGACTGAAAAATGCTTCCCTTTTCTTAAAACTGGTGAGGAATCGGGGTGGGAAGGGGAGAGTGTTACTTTTTGATCGAAGCAGAAAAAGCAGATCTGACACACAACGTGGGGGTAAGGGATTATGCCTTGTTGTGGAGCCAGAATGAGGGGGTGAAAAGGCAAAAGGAGTATGGGCCTGCCAAAGAGAACCAAGCCATTCAACTGTTGTCAGTTCTCATTAAAAAGAAGTCACCATGAAGTCTGGGTCAAACAATCCCACAAACGACCTTTGGTATGAATGTGTCTACTGCATAGGACTCTTCTTTTTTAATAAATGCATTTCATTAGCAGTTGCACAAGCAAATCAGTTGTTTAAATACATCGAACTTTTACAAATGTGATGTGAAACCAAACAAGCTAGAAACTCCTCTGACCTGCTAAAAGAAAAAAATATTTCTCTTTGTGCCAAATAAAGTTTTTCTGCTAAGAGTAAAAAGAGAAAATGCTAAAAATGCAAGAAAACACACAAACTGAGAAAAGGCAAAGTATAACTCTAAACCAAAATCACGCTGTAGCCTGAAAGCCACCCTTGATAGTTGACAGCTGTGAGGCCGTGTGTGAAGGCAGCAATATAAATCACTAGGGTTGTAACTCACTGACTGTGAAAATCCGCATGTGAGTGAGACAAAAATGAAAGAGAAAATCAAGACAATTAGTGTGCCCTAAGAACGTCCGCTGTTAATAGACCAAATTAAAAGTACCTCACTGCAGTCACATCAGAGATGCATGCAAATAACCTGTTCAAGTGTCAAATGATGGCTTTCACAAGAGCTTTCTTTTCTGTTCATTTTACATGCCTATTAGCATGAGCATAACTTAATAATCCACAAACACTTCAGGAAAAAAAAATAGAGTGCATTACTGACTTTATGGGATAAATTAAACAGTATTTTGAAGCATTTAAAGCTTCCGAGACAAATTATTTAAAGTAGTGTTTCCCAAAGTTGGGGTCGGGACCCAAAGTGGGGTCCCGAAAAATCAAGGTGGGGTCCTGAAAAGATTTTTGGAATTAATGACATTTTTGCCTTAGTTGTTACAAATGAGTAAGATTAATGTATTTAAAATGGATAAATGTAGTATAAAAATATTGTTACTATTACTATTGTTTAGTTGACCTGATACAAATGTTTATCATCCAAAAATAGCTGGGGGCACAGGTCTCTGCTACTGTTATTTTGTGGGTCAAAAGCTGAAAAGTTTGGGAACCACTGCACTTTGGTTCAAAAAGTTGGGCTTGGAATGGGTCATGAAGCACCTTGGATAATCTCTAAAAAGCAATTTAAAGGGTAATAAAATAATTGCTGATGTAATATTTTCCCCTATAACTATTACAAAAACACAAAATAAGTATAAATAGGTATTTATATTTGTGTACAAGCTGTTTAGGTTGTCAAAAAGCCTGTGTTTTTAGGGTTATTAACAAAGTTCGTGTACTCAGACCAGTAATATTTGGGTTCACATGTTTTTGCCATGGATATTTTGTGGGTCAGAAGATAAAAAGTTTGGGAACTACTGATTTAAAGGGTAAAAAAAATGTTATTTTAGTTTTGTTTAATAGGAGGAAACGCACCAAAGTTAGTGCTACATTATTTGGTTTTCCAAATAAAAAATCTGCATCTATGTTAAAATTTGGTCAACAAGAAGTGAGGTGCATGGAAATATATAGCCAGTGCCTTTAAGTCACCAAATCATGTGGCTAATAAAGCACCAGTTGAACCTGATAGTGTAGCAAAAAAAAAGAAAAGAAAAGAAAAGAAAAAAGCACAGTAATGGAAATGTAAAACATTTTCATTTGACTGCTTTTATGCAAATTGAGCAACTGAAATGATAGCAGTAAGACATAATTTGGATTTTTTTAATGAAATTTTATTGAACATTGATTTTAAATATAAGTGAATGCATCTTCAGCCTATTGGTTTGAACAGCACTGGGACTCCAGGGACAGCTGTGGTTTTTATGTTGCATTAGACATGTTTAGTGCACAGCAAATAAAACAGCTTGAGAACCTGTAATTACACCTGCATTGTGCCATTTGTTAATAAAACCTACAACTAATACAAGTTTATGAATATAGCTTACACATGCCTCGTCTAAGACTAATTTTAACATTTTGAGACAATTATCCAATTAATCTAAGTATGCTACACCTGTATGCTTCAGGTCAATTAAAATACTTTTTGTAGGTCATTGCAGCAACTATAAGTCTCAAAACAAAGGCTTTCAGCACAGTGCAAAGCAATGAAAGGAGTAGAATGGCGGTGTTTGCTAAATAAATTAATTAAAAAAAACCTGGGTAAAAAAAGGCAGATTAGGGTAATTAAATATGGCGTAGCTTGAACGTGGGAGCAAAAGGTAAAGTCAATGTTGTGGGGGCAGAGTTCGGATCTCCGCCTCTCTGCGAGGTCGCATTCCGGAGATTCCCACACTCTAAGCTCACCTGCCCTCGCCTTCACCTTTTCCCAGCACGTTTTCAAGGACATAAACAGAGTTTACAGAAGAAACCGACACTGAAACCGCTGTTTTTTCCCCTCCTCTCTCTCTCTCTCCTCTTTGCGTTGAAGTTTTCGCAGTAATGGTTTTAGCACGAGCGCGAGGATCCCTTTAGGAGGTGCCCGCGATGAAGCACGCGCAAGAGGGAGATTAGCAAGAATTAAGATTGTTCCCCCGCTGCGAAGAAGCTTTTTAAAAGCTCGCCTTTAAAGAACGCACGCACGCAAAACGCAGCCACTTTCTTTGCGGGGCGAAACGAAGAGTTTCTGAGTTCCCTCCTCCTCTTTCTCCTCCTTGCAGGGATGCTTCCCCCCCTCAACATTTTAGCCCAAAACTGTTCCGCAGTTAACGAGGCGTCGAAAACATTAACAAACCTTAAGAGGACTGTTGTTGCGCTGGTTGAGCTGCAGCTCAGGTCTACGTGGGAACGTGTAACTTCATCTGTAAAGTCCAGTCGCTTACTTCCACACGCGAAGAACGAAACTCGTGTCCATGGTCGAGAGAAGAAGCCAGCCCCCTTCCCTTCCCTGCATCTACCAGCAGTCCCAGGCAAAGCGAGCGTGCATGACGTCAGTGGGAATGTGGGGGAAACCAGTGGGGACTCCTGATTGGCTGCGGTACAAAGTTGGGGCGTTCCTGGTTCTCTGCGTATGGTTAAAATAACCAATGAGTGAAGAGATGGTAGTTACCGTGGTTACCAATTGTGTAAACCCGTACGCTGTTGTTAACGTGGACAACATGCGGTAAGCTAGGTTGTTCAGTAAGTAAACCTTCTTTCTACTCAAAGAACGACTATTCATAATAAGAGTAGCACCGGCGTAAAACTTGTCTGGAGTTTGCCATGTTGTTTCAATTAGTATTTAACCTGTCTTGTGTTTTTGTTTGTTTAAGACTGTTTTAAAAAAGACTGGTTTTGGCTTACTTCCGCATTCAATTTTCACTGGGGCAGCAGCTATTTTCAGTTTTATTTACAGGAAAATAGTAATATTTTTTTCAGCTTTCAACAGATAATTGACTTTCTTGTTGTGTCAAACACAAACAAATATTTATATATGTATTTATGTTTTTATTTTTCTTTACTTTTACTTTTACTTTTTTAACTTAAATCTTCTTAACACTATTTTTAAGTGAATATGTTTGCACCATAAGATAAGTTGCCTGCTTTAATCTTGTTGTACTGATGTATAATGACAATAAAGGCATTCATTCATTCATTCATTCATTCATTCATTCATTCATTCATTCATTCATTCATTCATTCATTCATTCATTCATATTTAAAAAAATGAACTTCAAAATTAGTTGTGAGTGTTTTCATAACCTTTTGTTAGACTGTCCAGGCCAGAGGCTTCTCATATTGAAATTTTTATGCTAATTTGTAATAAAATATTTCTTGATGGAGTAATTAGCAGTGTATATCAAATGGTAAGCATTCTGCAAAATCACAACTCTTTCTAAATTATTGTCAAAGAAAGTCCGGAACCTTCTAGCAGCTCATCTAGATGCAACATCTGCTGTGTCAAAACACAAAATGTAACAAATGTAACAGGAATTGAGTTTTCCTCATGTCGATGAAAGGTTTTGTGTTCTTATTTTTATTTTTTTAAAGGGGGTTGTGGCCCACAAGAAATATTCCTGTTCAGTTTAAATTAAGAATTTCTTTAAACACCACAATTCATTTTGTTCGTTTCGTCTAAAGGTGCAGCGTACCGGAAAAGAGACAAGACAGAAACAGACGAACAGAAAAGAGATCTACAGCAATGAGTGGAGGAAACCTACAGACGTTTGTCACAAACTACAAACCAGAAGATTCTGGTAAACAATTGAAAAGTTGCTCTTTGATATAAACAACTTCTGAAAGAGTGGCCTGACTGAGCTGAAAGTTCATCATTTAAAAAACTTAAAGCATCAAAGTTTTTTTTTTTGAGGACCCCCCCCCCCCCCACACACACACACACACACACACACACACACACACACCTGGACAGAGAATGTCAGGTAAGAGCATGTGTCAGCTATATTTAGAGGTAACCTTTTATCTCCAATTTACATCAGTCATCAGTAACACACACACACACACACACGTCTGGTTTTTATATACCTGTGCGGACTATGGATTGACTTCCATTCATTTTTTTTGGTAATTTTATATCCTAACCCTGACCATTTACACTAAAATTAACCTCACAGTTACTTACCTGACCCTAAAACTAACCTGAACTCAATTCACACCTTGGTCCTAAACCTAACCCCCCCACCCGTAATTTGCATTTGTATCCATGGGGACCGGGCATTGGCCCCCACAATGCACGTTTGGTACCCACAAGGCTGCTTTTTTGTGGKAAATGGTTCCCACAATGTAGCAAACACGTGCTCGCACACTGACACGTACACTGTGTTTTAAAAACACACTATATGAATTAAGTTAAGAAACACTTTATGTACACACATTAGGGGCACAACAATACATGTATCTGTATTGAACCGTTCAGGTTCTAAACACACTATGTATGGAACAATACAGATTTTTTTAAATTAATTTTTATCAGCTTGTCTTCTGAAGATGCTCTGTGTTAAAGGCTCAGTGGATCTGTGTTCGACTACTCCACCTAAGGCTGCAATGTCAAGCATGAATCCACTGAGAAACTTGCTGTTTCAGTAACATTTAATTTAAAAACTGTACTTTTGAGGTTAAACAACTGTTCATAATTATTGACAATAAATTAAAAGTTAAGAAGGGCATGGAAATTTCGCTTTTTTGAATCAAAAAATATTGAATCGTGAGGCCGTATGGTTGCACTCCTAAATATATTTTATATAATAAAAACATAGTATTTTGAGAAAACAGATTGCTTTTGCTACATTCCCTGCACGTTCTGAGCTATTCTCAATGTATTTCATAGAGCGTTTGCTCACCTAACATTAGGAAGAAGATGTAGGTTTAAAAACAATCTGATGCATACATAGACAATGCACGCTTCATTGGTTCAGTAATGTGTGAGCACTGAGTAGGTTTTCTAGCTGAGCACAACCATAAATGAATGTAATTTACAAAGAAGAAGAAAAAAAATTAAAGTGCTGTGCGCACTCGCCCTTTATGTGGTAAGGGTAGACATATTATTTCATGATATTAAATTAAGACGTTTACAGTCAATGTTGAAAGACAAAATGATAAACCTGAGMTGCGCTGCATTCACTGATGAGATAAATTCAAATGAAACACCTTCCATTACACAAGAAATTAAGTCGAAGGGTAAACACAAACACCAAATGTAATTTATGTGGAAAATTAGTTTTGTTTTATTACCAAGAACTCAGTTATTGCTTATTTTGTGAAAGCAATGCATATTTGAATATTTGTGATAGTTTCAGATCTCATCAAGGTATTAAATAAACAAACTGTTTTTTTCCAGATTTTGTTCAAAGGCATTTTGGATAACATTTAAAACAACCATTTCATCAATAATGGGATTTCTCTTGATCTGCATCTTTGACTTTGCACCAGATGTGTGGTTTAAGTGTTGTATGCACAGAACATTGCAGGTTTTTTGGGGAGTATGGGATAAAATTAAGTGTGTGCTGTGATTGGTGAACATGCACACAAGGGAGGAGGTGGGGTTACACACCCGGTGAGCACAGTCTGGCTGGTCTGATTGGACTTTATGTGTGAATTTTGGTGCACAAAAAAGCCCAACCTCTTTGACAAAAAAGGCAGCAAGCAATCTGCATTCCTTCAGCTAATGCTAATGTGTTGTTGTCTTAAGGCAGAATCTTTCATGTTTGCATCACAGACTTGAGAAATTGCCACACRTCCTTGTGTTTGCATCCATCACTCCCCCTCCCTCACTTCTGTCCAAATCCCCTGCGACCTGTGTTTGCTTAACCACTTCTTCTTCTCTACTCAAATCCACTACTACTATTTTTTCTCGCAAATAAGAAACTTGGCAACACCAGGGTCATTTTTTTCCAGCACTGCATCCACCTTCAACACTTGCTGTAAAAAAAACCTGCCTTGATTTAAATGGCTTTTTGAATTATGCCTATACTGAATAGAGCTCTCGCCACATAATCTTCATCATTCCCTTCAATTATGCTAACATTCCCTTGGCACCAATCAATCTGTGGTTTCCTTTTATGACTTTAAAGCAGCAGACTGCCTGTTTCTCTGAATAACAGTGACAGCTTTCTGAGCTGCCTCTTAGCAAACAGTTCACTGCCAAAAAAAGATGACAAAGACACCAAAAGGAAAAGAAAAATATTCCCCTTTCTAATCAAAGTTAAACACAAAACAGCTTTGGCGCTTTTTCAACACTCGCACATATTCCTCACAGCAGAGTGTTGCTTACCTGTTCTTTGACAGAGGCCAGGATGGAAGAGGTGGTCTCTGTCTCAGATCTGTCTCCGTTTGCGGCCGGCATCACCGGGGGGACCATGGCCCCCTTCTCTTGGTCCGCTGGCTGGTCTGGCACTGGCATTGCTAAAATTAATACATAAAGAAGGAAAATGCATTAAGAAGAGCAGTGGTTAGTGCTGGTACCTCTCGGTAAGAAGGTCGTAGGACCGCCTTCCCACCTGGGGCCTTTCTGGGTGGAGCTAGCATGTTCTCCTCATCTTTTCTCAGATACTGTTTACCAGATTGTGGGATTGTTTGGGGGCGACCGACAGTAAAGTCAATGATGGAACAGGTTCTCAAACTTTAAAGAGTGGACTGTTGCACGTCTCAATGTGTTGCTTCACGATGTACTCACTCATGAAGCTTGTCCAGGCTTGTTATGCTGCTCAAACGTTGGGATTATTGCCTAAAACAATCGCAATCTGGAGATGCAAAATAGAGGTAAGGCTAAATGGTTGTGCAGTAATTTCACTATACATATAATGTYTTAATTACTATAGTGGATCAAATACATCGTTAGAGAAAATACAGGTATACAATAATCATATTAACAGCATTATGACCTGTGGGGCTGAGTGATAATTATCTACCTATAATCTTGAGGCAGGCCAATCTATGATTTATTAAATGCTGATTGAATCATCATATTTGGCATATATATTAATTAGTTAATGTGCATGTTTTGGTTTTACTGGTGCTAAATGTTTTTCTTTAATATTGTCTGTAACTTTCAGCATGATGGATATTAACAATAATAATAATAATAATAATAATAACAATAACAACAATAATAATAATAACAGTAATAATAATAATAATAACTTTATTTGTAAAGCACTTTCAGACAAAGTGCTGGACAGGAGATAAAATCACAGATGAAAAGAGGGGAAGTCACAAAGTAAAAACAAAATGAAAACACAGAAGATGAGATAAAATCACAGGAGAGGGCAAATCATTAATAAAAAACAAAGGATAAAACTGACACGTAAGATGGTTTGAACAGGTGAGTCTTTAACTTAGCTTTAAAAACCTCAACAGAACAAGCCTGATGATGACCTGAGGGAGATTGTTCCACAGAAATTATTGTTAAGAAGTAAACTGTAACCAAATATATAGATGTGTTCAACTTTTAATATACTCTGTAGTTATATTTTTTTGAAATATTAAGTGGCCATGTTTTATCTGTAGGCAGCAAATATAATACGCAGCCAAGATCTCTGTAAACCACATCAATTTATTTAGCACTAGATACCTAGCAGCAACAATCTTGGGTTGTCATAATTATATGTATTTGAAATTATTTTTCATGTATATGTTATCATTGTTGTACATATACACAAGTAATACACGGCACAGTGATCTTATTGACCAATTTCACAATCTTTCAAGTCACACACAGGCACCGGATGTCCCCAAACTGGACCATGATTCTTTGCGCTAGGCAAAGATGGTGGTATCTGTAAAAACAGGTCCATGCACAACTGGGTATGACTCTCAACTACTACCACAGCAAACTATCCCTCAAGATCAGTAAAAGTGGCCATATTATGGTATCTTTAGCACTACATATATTTTGGTTGCAACTATTGACTGGTACCACTAAAATTGATTGAGTTATAGCACTTGTGTGTGCGTTGATGTTGACTGGCCATGCTGGCAATTTTTAATTGAATTGTCTCCAATAAGGTATTCAGTTGTAGACATTTATCCAATGATTACTTCCTGAGAGTTTCATTCAATTCTGTCCAGTGGTTCCTGAGATAATTTGCTGACACAGAGGCAGGCATTGTTTCTAATATTTGCTTTACATGACATACAATTTTTATCTGTCTAAACATTTGTTTTTATTTATTCCCTCCACAGACTGCAATTACGTCTGACTTATTGCATTTRCAGATGTTTACAAACCACAATTTAACTAAAAACGGAAAATGTTTTAAACGACCGATAGTCATCAGGGGAAATTAACCCTTCAAACAACTGAATGAGAAAAGAAAAAAGTTTGTCAGTTTGCTCAATAACCCCGAGGCAACAATCTCGTGGTCACAGTGAGTGGCTGTGAATAAACTATTTTCTAACTCTAATTAGTCTGCAACACACACACATACACACACTTGTCACTCTCAATATGCTGCATTACAAACAGTGGTCCTTGTAGACTTGTTAAAATGCAATGCCCCAGTTATCACAATTTTAAATAATTAATTCAGAATATAGGCGAGTGACAAATGTCTCTGACAATTCATTTCAAAAGGAARGAGCCTCTCCAGTGATTGCTGACTTGGGAGAGGGAAAGCCACATAACATGTGGGTCTTTGTCAAGCACCACCTCACTAACTGTAACAAGTACTGTCAGACCTGCTCTGACACATCTGTCTGTTATTTCTGCAGAACTTCATTGGATAAATCACAGCAGGAACTA